AAATTCTGGATATGTCACAAGTGCTCTAAAATATTTAGTCAGTGCCGTTTCTTTGCAATGGATCTGTTAAATGTAGATTATGTCAATCTTTTCTATTAAACATATCAATCATATGTAAAATAACTCCATGTTATTCAAAGCAAAATGAGCTGATAGCGTAGGAGATACAGAAAATCTGCATGGCTCTTTCTTCCACGTGTTACATATTTTCAGCCAGCTAGTTTCAGATTTAATCTCTATTGTTTATAACAGTGAGATTTAGGATGAGAAGTGCACATGCTCAGTGCTGGTTGACTTTCATTGCCTTCGAGTAGTCATTTAAATTAAGCAGGTTGTTAACTTGACATTTTCAACTCTAAGGACAAGAAACCTTGAAGACAGGTTATCAGATTAAATTTCGGACATAAGCACACGTGTGCAAACATTGGGACTATTAAACCACTATGCTTGCTTCTGAGGCTTCATTGTTTTGAGCTGACATTCCTTGATTGAATCTTCATGAGCACGCTATTCATTTAGCCATCCTGCTTCCTCCTTTTACCCAAGCACCTAAATATGCCAGTAAAAAGAGTGAAGAGAGCCTTTTATATACTCTCCACCTAAAACACAGCTGCAGCTGAGAAAATACTTGCCTTTTTCATGTGTGCACTTTAATCACTCCAGCTGCATTCATTCCGTTCAGCTGCTTCTCTGGTGCAGTGTATCTTTAACCATATTGGGAGGTATTGTGAATTCTGAGCTATAAATTTCATTTACATGCCTTCATTTACATGATGTACATCTTACTTACTGCTGCAAGGAGTCTTATATTTGGTCACAGATGATGTTCTAGCAGCACAGTATATCATATATATATATATCAAACCTATAAAGTATATCAAACCTAGTATATATCATAAAAGTTGGTGACCCCTCCTCAAAAGTTTCTAATTTGACTGAGTTTTGGACTGTAAACTGTTGGAAGCTATTTGCCTTTGTCTTTCCCTTTCATTCTATCCTCATATCAGCATGTTCACGATCTTTTAAATATGTTGTATAGTGCTAGAGCCTGAATGTTTTAATGTATTTTGATTTTTTTTCTGGGTATGCTTGACACAAATAGGATAGAGAATTATTTAAGAATTGAGAAAACTGTATCTTTTACGTACAATTAATTAGAACATCCTTTGTCTTGAGAAAGTGTCTAGGACATACTATAATTTTGGTTTCCAAAACAAAATGAGACAGACTTGTAGTTATTGTAACTGTTGATACTGACTTCAGCAGAGAGCAGTAAGCAAGCAGACAGGACAAAACTAATGTAACAATGAAGTAGTAAGCTAAAGGAGAGGACAGAGATTAATTGATCAGTTTGAGGGATCTGTCCTTAGGAGTTTTTGCTTTGCTAGATATGCTCTCTGTTTCCCAGAAAAAGGCCTGCATGGTGATATTGCCACATTTTTCCCATCGGGGAAAAATCTCAAAACTATAAATCCTTTGTTTCCTCAGCATTCTTCTTGTACATAGTGTTTTCTCTGCTAGCAAATATTTAGTATAACTGGACACAGCAATTCTACCTCACTGTTCCTGTCAATAATTCTTGCACTGGTGTTAATGATATCCTTTAAATTTGAGTCAGAAAAGCCTACATCTTCATGGGGGTTGGGAGGGAAGAGACATACTGTTATGTTGCAATTATATGGCACATCTTTTCTTGTTATAAGTTGCTATGACAATCCTTATCCTGGGGGTCTGATTCCAAAGTTAACAACTAATCATAATTAGTAGGCTTGCATAATCCCTCTTTTACTCACCTTTCATCCTCTAAAATACTTTGATTATGTGGAATTCTAAGGATGAATAGGCATTGTTCAGAGAGATGAATCCCATTCCAGGTGTGAAGATGGGGAATGCGGCTGTTCCTAAATGCTCTCTGAGTTGAGACTGCTCCTACTACTCCACCAGCTCAGCCTGTGGGGTTAGAGAAGGAGGATGCGTTCCCATTATACTCAAGAGAACACGTCTGACTGGTGGTAGGGATAGCATTGGTAGTTTCTGCAAGAATCTGTATTCAGCCCTCTTCCCTTGAAGGAAGGTTGCCAAGATGCACTTGCTTTAACACAGTGGTTATCCTATTGCTCTTAATTATTTAGTAATAGTGGGCATTCTAGTATGTGATGTTAGCTGGCATGTAATGTAAAAGTACATCAAATGCAAAACTTGAGTTGGTACTCCATGATATTTTGAAAAGTCATATAATTAACATGGCACACAGTCAATGAATTAAAAGCTGGCTAACTGATAGGTCTCAACATGTAGTTGAGGAATTGGGAAATTCCTGATTCTAGTGGGGTCCCACTGGGATTGGTTCTTGACCCTACACTATTTAACATTTTTTTTTATTTAATACTTGGAAGAAAACCTAAAATCATTGCTGAAAGTCTGTAAATGACACAGAAATTGGGGGAGTAGTAAATAATGAAGAGAACAGGTGACAAATACAAAGCGGTGTAGATGGCTTGGTAAACTGGTAGAAGCAAACAATATATGTTTTTAATATGGCTAAATGTAAATATGTACATCTAGGAACAAAGAATGTAGACCATACATACAGGATAGGGGACTCTATGCTGGGAAGCCGTGACGCTGAAAAAGATTTAGGGGTTGTGGTGCATAATCAGCTGAACATGAGCTGCCAGTGCAACACTGCGGCCAAAAAGAACGGAGCAGTCCTTGGATGGATCAACGGGGGAATCTTGAGTAGGAGTAGAGAGTTTATTTTACTTATGTATGTGGTCTGGTGTGACCATTGGGGGAATACTGTGTCCAGTAATGGTGTCCATAATTCAAGAAAGATGTTGATAAATTGGAGATAGTTCAGTGAAGAACCATGAGAATGACTGAAGGATTAGAAAACATGCTTCATAGTGATAGATTTGAGTTCCATGGGTCTATTTAGTTTAACAAAGAGAAGATTAGGGGTGATTTGATTAATCTCTAAGTACCTTTGTGGGGAACAAATATTTGATGATGCACTCTTCAATCTAGCAAAGAAAGGTATAACACGATTCAATGAATCCAAGTTGAAGCTAGACAAATCCAGATTGGAAATATGGCATCAATTTTAAAGTGAGTAACTAATCACTGGAGCAATTTACCAAAGGTCATGGTGGATTCTCCATCACTGATGATTTTTAAATCAAGATTGGCTGTTTTTCTAAAAGATATGCCCAAGGAATTATTCTGGGGAAGTTCTATGGCTTGTGTTATACAGGATCCGACTAGATGATCACTATAGTTCCTTCTAACCTTGGAATCCATGAATCTATTAACAAAACAGACCACATTCCTTTCAGTGAATGTGTAATTAGATGCGAGTTGATGGGAGAATTGTACAATTTTGGATTCTAAAAGAGGTTTCAAGTTTGTAAACTCTGATTCTGCATTTTTGCATAGCTTTGTATGCATATAGAGCTCTCTCTCTCTCTCTGTGTGAACATTAGTTGTTAAGTTTATTAAAAAAATGAAAACTTGACTCATAAGTAGAATTTTGCAAGTTCCCTTAAATTTCAGAATCACATTCCTTAAAGAACTTGAGATTCTTTGCTTTTATTGACCTCTGTGATTAGAACCAAGAGTACCAAACTTAAAAGGAGTAATTGATTCTCTATGGAAGCCCAGGAGAACATTTCATATAATATTTTGGAAAACATTGTCTTGAATAAAACAAGTCGGCATCCATAATTTTGATGTTATCTCCCAGCCTTCTTTGTCAGCAAATTGTACTGCACATTTTGTCAGATTTCTACTAATCCTTGTTTATTAGTTAGGATAGAAATAACACAAGAACAGCAGAAAGATTTCTTGTGTTTGCTCCTTTTGCTTTTCATTTCAGCCAAAGCTAGGAAGTGAAGGAGGCATGGTAACCTAGTTGTGTCAAACACCAAAAGTTGGGTTGGAGTTTGAGTATTAGTTCAGTTAATACTTTATCTGAAGTAATTGTTTCATGCCTAGTCTCAAAATGCTTTGATCTCTACTGTGCCATTCAGAGCACCAAGTACCAGGACAGATAGCTATCAGTATTTAATGAAAATTGTGATGTGATGTGATGTAAGTGTATTGGTACTTTGCAATTCCTAAAATGGACTGCAGACATATTTTAGTGAAAATGTAAATATTTTCCAAAGCTCATTCTGGAACAGGAAGTTGTATAGTAAATGTATGTCTGAGTCAACTGGGTACAGTTTCAGCTGGAAGGCATCCTGGCAATTTGTGTTCTAGTTGTTCTAATGCACTGACATGGTAAAGGAAAGCAAGAAAGAAGCAGAGAACGCTTCAGTAACCTAAATTGAAATTGCAGTCCTCACCAAATCTACTTTTGTCCCAAAGCACAGAAATAATTCCCCATGGGCTCTTTCCTGGGTGAACTAATTTTTGATTACAAGCTAGTGTCAGAATTTTCATTAAACGTAGAGTAAATGTAGATAAACAATAATAAGATTAGATTACTAAAACATTTTTGATGTACTATATTTTCCTGTGTATACCAAGGTTAATGCCTGGGCTTCTGTTATGTTCATGTAGGCCACCCCTTGTCTTCAAAATCCTTATGTTTCTTAGCTCATATTTTTGTTAATCTTATGAATAAATCTGTATTCCATTTTTCATCCTTCTATTTTCAACTTTTAGGAACAGTAACTAAACAGAGGAAGACACTTACTGTGACTTCCCTCCAAGTCCACTACTATGATGTTGCCTAGAGGGATTAGGAGAATAACCCTTAGCTCTGAGTTTTCTATTTAAACAATTTATTTATGTTGACTAGTACCTTACTCCACAAATAGTATGCCCTCTTTTAAATTTGCCCTCTGAAAAAGAAATAAAACACAACCTTGTTACTGTTGGCTTTTTTGGTTTTCAGGAGGTGGCTTGACAAGTCACAGGAGAGGAATGGGAAATGCCAATTGTGGGTTAATTTTTAATGTTAATCACATCTTCTTTTTTCCTTTTAATTCCAACAGGAAATTGTTCTGGTGGTGTTTTTTGGTGCTGAATATTTGGTGCGGCTATGGTCTGCTGGTTGCAGAAGTAAATATATTGGCTTTAAGGGAAGACTACGTTTTGCCAGAAAGCCTATATCAATTATTGGTAAGATTTATATTGTTTTTAGACTGTTCTGTTAGTATCCTTTTTAAAGTGCAAATATAAAGTTATTACCAAAGAGCATACTGGAGACCTGAGCTGTATCCTTGATTCTTAGCACTGACCTGTGTGTGACCTTGGGCAAGCTGTCTGTGCTTCCTGGTGTCTGTCTTTGCTATCTAAATTGTCCTTGCCTTGAAAAGTTTACAGTCTTATTATGTATTAGAAATGTGCCTAGTACAATGGGGTCTCTAGGCACTACCATGGTACAACTAATAAGCAGTAATATTGCATATCATGAAATAATAGTATGTAGTGGGCCCTTGCCTACAGGAAATCCTAGCTGAAGAAGGAAAATCTGAATGACACAGTCCCTCTCTGGAGCGTAGGGAAGACAGAGAGCAGCGTCACCTGCTGGGGATAACAGGGGCTGGGTGAGACACTGGGCCTGGGGAGGGTGGCCATACTTTCAGATACTTTCAATAACTTGGTCACCCTCTCACTGGCTGTTTTCTCCCTTCTTTCCCCAGCCCCAGGTTCTCAAATTGTGCTTGAATATGTACTGTAGAGAGGACAGGGTGCAAGGGAGGACACAAAGGAGCTGCTGGATGGAGAGGAAGAGGGACTAGAGAGCTAGTTGGAGGAGAGTGAGAGGGGTGTTGGGGAAAAGGGGCAATGGAAAAAAGTAACTGGATTTGTACGTAACATTACCATAAACATTCTGTTTTGACTTGAGTGTGTTTTTCTTATTTCATTTATAAACCCTTTGGGAAAGGCTTTATCTTCCTATGGTTTTTGTACACCACCTTAACCATTTTAGGTGCTACAATGCTACCAATGTGTATAAAATGTCTATTAGTACCACATACCCTACACTTCTTAATCATTAAGGGGCCTGTGTTCCCTTTCATATGTTATTTTTATACAGGGGTATTGGAAACTGAGTTTCAGCTCACTGGGTTTTGTGGTCATGCTTCTGCAGGGTATGGGTAGGTGGGGAGCAGTGTGTGAGTTTAACCTCATCTGCAGAGTCCACAGCTAATTCCCTCACTCACCACCTATGATTTGCATGAAATTTCAGGTGGAAACTCAGCAAACCAAGTAGTCTGCTGAGGAGCTTAATATGCATAATTAACAATAGGGGAAAATAATGTACAACTTTCAAATCCTGGGGGAAGTTTCATTGCATGCAAAACAAACAGAAGCAGGAATGCACAAAATTTATAGCTGTTAGGGATCTCAAGTGATTAAAAAAATTAATTGCGATTAATCACATGATTAATCACACTGTTGTTAACAGAATACCATTTATTTATATTTTTGAATGTTTTCTACATTTTTAAATATATTGATTTCAATTACAACACAGAATGAAGTGTACAGTGCTCACTTTATATTTTTGATTACTAGTATTTGCACTGTAAACAAACAAAAGAAATAGTATTTTTCAATTCACCTTATACAAGTACTGTAGTGCAATCTCTTTATTGTGAAAGTGCAATTTACAAATGTAGAATTATGTACAAAAAAAATAACTGCATTCAAAAACAAAACAATGTAAAACTTTACAGTCTAGAAGTCCACTCAGTCCTACTTCTTGTTCAGCCAGTCACTAAGACAAACAAGTTTGTTTACATTTGCAGGAGATAATGCTGTCTGTTTCTTGTTTACAATGTCACCTGAAAGTGAGAACAGATGTTTGCATGGCACTGTTGGAGCTGGCTTTGCAAGATATTTACGTGCCAGATGGAGTCGGGGCGGGGCTGGGGGCAGACGGGGGTCAAGCACCCACCGGTGTGAGCAGAAATTGGCGCCTATGAATACTACAGTAGCAATTACTGTTTGTATAGCATTAGAGATCATACAGTGCACTTTAAATGCTAAGTGTAAATCATGAGCACAGGTTGCAACATTTTTGTTAGGGCACTTCAGAACGTCTAAGTATAGAGATGTGGGAGGTCATGTAAAAAGAGGTGTAAATACTGTTTTATTCTTGTGGGAATGAAGGCTCATTGGGAAAATACATTTGGAAGTACAGCTGTTGCTGTTATGTTGTAGAAGAAACGGCGTACTAGCCCTATTGCTAGACTTGTCTGTGTGGCTATACATTTGTGTTGTAGATGTTCAGGCTCGGGCTGGAACCTGGGGACCCCGCAAGGCCAGAGGGTTCCCAAAGCCTTGGTTCCAGTTGGAACCCAAACCATGTACACAGCAATTTTTAGCCCTGTGAGCCCAAGTCAGCTGATATGGGCCAGGCCCAGGTGTTTAATTGCTGTGCAGATGCACCCTTAATTTTTCTCATTTTTCTTTTGTTGTTGTTGTTTTTGTTATAGATGTGAAGATTTAGAAGCTTATGAAAGAGAAGGGACTTTCATTGCCAGGGCCACTAATAACTTTATATCCTAAATCTGCTCACTCCTTCTGAATTCAGTGCTGTTTATAGAAAGGAGTTAAAATTGGCAGATACCCTCAGTTGCTACTCTTCTCCCTCCTTTGTTTTCCTCTTTTTCTCTCCTTTACTTTAGTTTTGTCAAAGCTTTTCTTTGGTTTGTTTTTTTGGAGATGCTGGATAAAATATGTTGATGAACAAGCATTTTCAAAAGAACAAAAGCCTGGGGGGAGTTGGGGAGAAGAAGCTGGGTGTGCCAAAGGGGAGAGAGGAGGAGAGTGAACAACGTGAAAGAGGCAAGATGAATATAATACTGAAGTGAGAGGTGGTGGGGGAAGGAAGGAAAACTACAGGGAGAAAAAGTTAGGACTGCAGGAGACAATTTATTTTTTATTTTTATTTTTGATAAAACTTAAAAGTACAATAGTTTCAACCTTGTATTGGAAGACCTGAAATTTTCATTGTTGAGGTGGAATTTTCCAAAGCCACTAGTGCTGGTCTAACTCTGCCTATGTAGAAATCAGTGGGAGGTGAGAGTGAGGATGGCTTAGTTGTTAGGGAGCCATCTTGGGACTTAGGAGGTACAGGTTCAGGTCTTTGCTCCACCATTGACACCCTGCATGACCTTGGGCAAATCATTAATCTCTTTGTGCCTTAGTTTCCCATCCCCAAAATGGGGAAAATAGAAGTCCCCTGCCTCACAGGGCACTAAAGATAAATACATTCAAAATTATAAGGCGCTCAGATACTACGGTGATAGGAGCCTTAGACATGCCTAAGAGAAATGGATATGGGTTTATCATTGGCTTCAGCAGGAGCAGTGTTGAGTCAACACTCAATGCTTTTGAAAATTCCCATCCTGAATGTTTATAATTAGGCTTTTGGTAAAAGATAAATAGTGGGCACAGGCGAAGATAACATGAGGGATTGCAAGGTCACACACTATCCTTTTGCTGACACATGCTATCCTTTTGCTGCATTACAGAAATGTCACTACAGATGAATTTTTGTAATTAATGTTCATTCCCTGGGAGCTTGGGAGTTTATGCTTTGAAATAAATATTAGGCAGGTATATGTTCAAGGGTGTTGTGTGTGCATTATTATCCCATATTGTCTGCCTTTAGCAATGGGCCTGTATGGAATATATTCATATGCACCTTCAAAGTTTGTTATGGAATGAGACAGGGTTCTGAAGGAGCACCTGCACATTGAATGCGAAATTCCAGTCAACTTATATAAGCCTACCAGTGCCGTGCCAATAAAACACTGAGCGAATGTTAGTGAAAACCACATTATTGTAAGTCAGAACTCAAAGTATGTGCATGCAGGCTGTTTATTTTAAGTCCTTACAGACAGATTTTCACTGGACCACTAAAAAGCATATATCCAGCCTAAGAGCTATCTCCAGACCATAAACTTCATACCAGAAACTACTAGAGCTGCTAAAAACAATTCAGAGTTTTTATTAAAATGGAATTTTTTTTGCTTTTTGTACTTGAAAAATGGGTGAATTGAGTTTGCTCAAAATCACCAGATATTGAAAGTTGTAGACCAAATGTAAAGATATTAGAAAATTAGAAATCAAATTGTTGAGTTAATAATGGAAATACTTAAGTAATCTTGACTGTAGGTATTACTATGTGCTCTGCCTATGTGTATAAATAAGAAATACTTGCCTAGCAAGCTGATTTTTAGATATAAATGCTGTTTGAAGCTGCTGAAGGATTTGAAATAGTACAATAAGCCCCAAGGAGGATGGACTAGAAGGCAGGGTTTTCAAAGCTGTGAGATAAATAAGTTGATCATATAGCTCTGCAGTTTTTCACAGGGCTATCATCTCTACACTTATGTAGTATATATATTGATATAACTGCTGATGAATCATTTATAATGCACCACACTATGCATATATGAGAGTGTGTGTGTGTGTGTTTATATATGTATAATAGTAGTAAAGGCATATACATTATAGTCAGGTTTGGTAGCACCAGCTGTCGTCTCACTGTTTTGGGATCTATCTGACCCCAACACACACAAAAATATAAATAATTTTTTTGTGCCAAACCTGTTCCTGTTCAGACATTAAGTATTCTCAAACTAGGCTGAAGTCAATCTTTCTGCACTGGTTTTATTATCCTATCATCATGGGTTTTAGTAGGAAAAAAGTGTCTAAAAAAAGGTAATGGGATCAGTTCGACCTCTCTGTGTTAGTCAATGGGGAAAATGAAAGTACTACACTTCCAAGGTCTTTGGGGGATCTCGAAACACATACAGTTTTTTTTAAAATGATAGTCAAACCATTGCCACCTCATTCTTCAAATATTCTCAAATTATAATGAGCACAACCTGTTAGCATGGATTTGGTCTGCATGCCTGTTGAGGTTTTAGTGTAGAAAAAAGTCACTCAGAGTTTTGGTGTTAATTAGACCACAAATTATTTAAGCAGGTGTTCTAGCATCAGACTGATGTTTTGTTTTTTTTTACTTTGAGGCAGCAGTTAGGATGTGATTATATGAATCTTTCAGCATTGTTTTTATCATCATCGTTTCAGTGGTTTTTGTTTTTCAAAAAAATGCCCCCAAAAGACCTTGGGGGAGGGTCTGAGACCCCAGGTAA